CTTGAGCAGTTGGAATGCCTTTTCACACTCTGGGGCCCATACTATCTTGGGGAGGTTTTTACGGGTTAAGTCTGTGAGGGGTTTGGCTAGGGTGCTGTAGTTGGACACAAATTTACGATAGTACCCTGCGGTACCTAGAAATGCGAGGACTTGCGTCTTGGTGCAGGGGGCTGGCCACTTGGCGACTGCCTCTATTTTAGCGGGCTCTGGCTTCTGTTGGCCGCTTCCTACCCTGTGCCCTAGGTACTGAACCACTGCCATCCCTATGTTGCACTTACTGGGTTTGAGGGTCAGTCCGGCCTCCCTAATCCGGTCTAGTATGGCTCCTATGTGGGTCAGGTGTTCGGGCCAGGAGTAGCTGAAAATGGCTATATCATCTAGATAGGCGCAAGCATACTCCTGAAACCTATCCAGTAGCCAATCTACCATCCTCTGAAAGGTTTCACATTATTCACGTTATTTTACTAAATGATCGTTCGGCAGATAGCTGGGGTCTGAGCACACCTTTCGTGAAAGTACCGCTCAGATCCCAGCATAAATAACCGAACGCCGTACGAAAACACATATTATTTTACCTTCACCTTAAAGTACCGAATGCATATAGGGGAACAAACTACCGAAGGCCCGGTGTTCCCGAACGGCCTGGAAGTCCAGCAGTATACGTGCCGTCGAGTAGCCGATTTTAGTTCCAGGCGCTCGACGACCAAATACCGCTGGGCTAATAAAGGATCCAAGATGGCCGACCGCCGCGTGGTCGGTAGCCAAACGGCGGCCACCCTGATTCTCAATAATTACACAAGGAAACATTGTTGCAATATTTAATGGGAGCCACACGACCCCCTGTGTGTGGTCTCCCATTCGATAGTTAGTTTGTTTCACGAACAGTGTTGAAATTCACTGTTCATGAAACTATTGTATGAATGCTGGTGTCTTTCTTGCCGCCAGCATACGAATGCTCTCGTTCGCACAATATACATACACCGTTACCAGCTTGGTTCTAACAGTCTTTAAAGGGATAGTATCACACACATAAAAATACATTCTGAAGTGGCTGGTTTTGACACAGTCACCAAAACAGCTTTAGCTTAATGAAGAAGCTTTAGTGTATAATTCATGCCTCTGCAGTGTCACTGTTCAGTTCTCTGCAATTTAGGAGTTAAATATCTTTGTTTATGCATCCCTAGGTTCTCACTGTGGCATCCAGATGTGGTCACCCTAGAGGTGCCTAACAGGGAATTTGAACCTGGGTACTTTGCTGTCTGGGCCTGCTTTACTGCCTTTAAGCCACAGCAGCTCCTATTCCTTGAAATATTTCTAGCCCTGTTCTATCTGGCTATGTCTCCAGCACTAGGGGACTGACCTTGGTTTATCTCATCGTTTATCCTGACCTCTGGCATCCTCTGACTTTGTCTTATCCTCATTTATCCTGACCTTTGGTATCCTCTGACTTTGGCTTATCCTCATTTATCCTGACCTCTGGCATCCTCTGACTTTGGCTTATCCTTGACTATCCTCCTGCTTTTGTCCTTGCCTGTACTGCAACTTGGAGCTATATCCTGCACACCCCTGTGCACAGACTCACAGCCCAGGTGGCTTCTTATCTGGTCACCTTGGTCTGTTTTTATTTGCAAGGGTGAACGTATAACTCTGCACATCGGACTCCACATCAGGTAAGATCCTGACAGGCACACCTCTGTGCATGTGACTTGCATGGCCTTCCTAAACACTTCCTGTAAAGAGTCCTCTAATGCTTACACTTTCTTTATTAATTTACAGAGCAGGAGATACAAACATTTGGAGTAAGTGAACATCTGAATGAAAACAAAACCCTTTTTTTCATGCATGCTGTGTCAGTAACAGCTAGGGGAGGTGTGGCTAGGGCTGCATGGACAGGACAGAACAAATAGGTTATCTAACTCCTAAATGGCAGAGAATTGAGCAGTGAGACTTCAGAGTCATGATCTATACACAAAAAAAACTGCTTCACTAAGCTTACATTGTTTTGGTGAGTATAGTGTTCCTTTAATGAGTAGGCATCTGTCCTATAATGGACACCTTTTTTTCAGCACTTTTAATGTGCCTTTTTGGATCACATGTTGGCTGACGAGGAGAGATAAGCACAAGGAGCCATGTCAAGCGTCCTCAGTACTCTAAATTGCACCCTGCACTCGTTCACAAAATTCAACAAACTATATCTGGTGAGGCTATTTAAAGGGACACTCCAGGCACCCAAAATACTTCTGCCTATTGGAGTGGTCTGGGTGCCAACTCCCATCACCCTGAACCCTGCAAGTGTAATTATTGCAGTTTTTATAAACTGCAATAATTACCTTGCAGGGTTAAGTCCTCCTCTAGTGGTTATCTATCAGACAGCCACTAGAGGGACTTCTGTGTTCTTAGAACACGAAAAGTGTTTTAAATGACACTGGACGTCCTCACATAATATGCATGAGGACCTCCAGCCAGGGCTGTCTATAATATGATTAGGACCCTGGGCAATGCATTTTCTTGGGCCCCCTGGGCCCTGCCTCTCCCGCCGCCTCACCCCCCAATTACGCCCAACCCGCAATCACACTGACAGACGTACTGGCACAGACACACACAGACAGACATTAAAACATTCACAGATACATACTGACACACACAGTCACTGACACACAAATATATACACACACAGACATACATACATACATACACAGACACATACACTAACAGATATACTGACACACACACAAACACATACACGGACAAATATACTGACACACACAGGCATACTGACAGACACATTGACAGACACACACAGGCATACTGGCATACACACAGACACACGCACACACAGGCATACTGACATACACACAGACAGACGTACTGGCAGATACAGACAGACATTAAAACATTCACAGATACATACTGACACACATACACTGACATACAAATATATCCTGGCAGACATATTGACACACACACACAGACATACATACATACACACACACACAGACACATACACTGACAGACATATGACACACACACAGGCCTAGTGACACACACATACACACACACACAGACATACTGTCATACACACACACACACACACACACACAGACCTACTGACATACATTTAGCCACCCTCCAGGTTCTAACCTTTACCAGGAGGGTGGTTTCCCTAGTCATCTGGAACTCCCCTCCTCCCTGCCTTCCTCCTCCCGCGCGCCCATTATCTCCGATGGGAGGAAGTGACGTCACTTCCTCCCAGCCAGCTGCAGAACAGGAAGGGGCCCGGTCACGCTGTTTAAGCGCCACAGCGCCCAACCGGGCCCCTGCTGACACATGCTCCCCGGGTGGCCCTTAGTGCATGAGACACCCGGGGAGCCTCCTCAGTGTGCAGCAGCCACAACGCCCGGTCCATAGGGGCTGCGCAAATCGCGGGGCCCACAGAGCAGCTGCACTGGGCCCCCCTGGAGCAACTGGGCCCGGGGCAGCTGCCTCGTTTGCCCCGCATTAAAGACTTCCCTGCCTCCAGCGTCGCTGGAATCCATTGAAGGAAAGCATTGAATAATGATTTACTATGGGGAAGTCTAATGCGCCGGAAGTCTATGGAGAGTAGGTCGGAACCTGACCCAGCACTGAGGGACATCGGCGCTGGACTCCGGTAAGTAACTGAACTTGGGATGGGTCCCTTTTTCCTGGCCCTGTAGAGTCCCTTTAAGGAAAGATGGTGCATTGCCACCTTTCTAGATCTGGCTAAGAAACATTTTAATAAACTCTGACAACAAAACAAATTAAATTGCACCTGTTATGATAAACACTTGGAGTTACTCTATAGGGAATTAAATTTCATCTATGCATCAAAATATTATTACAATTACATTGCTGCGACATGTGCAGATAAATAGGTATTCCCTTTGTTCTTAATCTCCTTATAGAGCACAACGGTTAAAATATTGATACGATATATGGGATACAGGCTGTGTTATTTGGCTATCTGACCTCCCAGCAACAGCCTCCAGTCAGTGCAAGGTAAGCTTGATATAATCAGGTGTGTGTGTAAGCCTGCTAGTGAGAAAGCTTGTGTGTGTGTGTGTGTGTCAGTGAGCTTGTTTGTAGTGAGCTTGTGTGTGTGTCAGTGCCCAGGCCAACAGAGGAGATCTGCTTTCTTGCTGAAAGATCTCCCTCACCAGCCCAAAGGCCCTTCATTAGTGACAGGGAGGGCTGGAGGACCTGGGAGACAGAGCACTCCTCCCGCGAGCATGCTGTGTGGCGCGTTTCCGCGTGTTACCATGGCAATGCTCCAACACAGCTTTCTGCACGCGGGAGGAGCTGCAGGCTATAGACAACTCACCACCACTGGACCACCATGGCACAGCACCCCTCACACACGCACAGCACCCCTCACACGCACAGCAGCCACACATACACACAATACCCCTCACACAGAGCTCCCCTTACGCACACACACACTACACCGCTCACACACACACAGCACTCCAGACACAAAGGACCTCTCACACACAGCACCCCATTACACACACATCACCCCTCATACACAGCACCCCTACAAACACATACACTGCACCCCTCACTGCAGTCTGGGTGTATTCAGCAGTCTCTGTGTGTGTGTGTATCAAGCAGACTGCATGTATAAAGCAGTCTGTGTGCATTCAGCAGTCTCTGTGTGTGTGTGGTCAGCAGTCTGCATGCGTTCAACAGTCTCTCTGTCTGTATTCAACAGTCAGTGTGTATTCGGCAGGAGCAATTTGAAACTAACCTTCTGCCTGATCAACGCTCCCAACCTGCTGGTGAGACCTTTCCCCTATCCCCACACTGGGCATAGAGGAACCCTTGCAGATTGGAACACTAAAAGCCATGCTCACTGGAAATGAAAAGGCCAGAAGGAGAGTAGAAGGCCTTTGCTTCTATTGTGACAAGGGAGGCCCCATACGTCTTCCTCACCCTAAGCATAGCCATGTGGGGGCTCTGTATCACCATCCAGCAAGTTCTCCATGGCAGCCTATTGCAGTCTCTGTTGCTGTGGTACGACTCTGCATGCGACTGTACTGAAACGCCCATCTAACCAGGTCGTTGGCACCATCACAGCCCTGGCTAACCCTGCTCCTGTTCCAGAGCCTCAAAAGGAGGCTGCTGTGGCTACCTTCCAATCCTCAGCCTTTGTCTCCCCTAACGTTTCCTGCTCCAAAACAGAAGATCTGTCCCCAGACTGTGTAATTGCCTCCAATGGAACCGTGGTCCGCAGGCAAGATCTAATGGCCTTTCAGCAGGCTCTTAAGGCCAGAGCTGCATCCACTCAGGTGGTTGATGCTTCTTGCCTCCTTGTCTCCACTGCCTTCTCGAAGAATGACAACCTACAAAATGTTCCAACACTCTCAGATCCTGATGATTCGGATGCCTATACAGATGATTGGCAGATCTGCTTTAGGTTGCACTAATTAATGTACACATAATTATTGCCAAAACTGTGAAAAAATGTTTATGGATTTGTTTTTGCATTTTGGTTTTATAATTGAGATATTATACATGTATATATCACATAAAATCAATGCTATTTTGTTCTGGTATGGTAGGTAATAAGTGTTGGAGTAATAAATCTAAAATATGGAAATTGTGGTTGAACACATACATAGCAAAGATGCCAAAATTATATTCCTCTTTTAGTACAAAACAAACAAACTGAAGTTTTGTACTTATGGGGTTAAAGAAAGGGTAAATATATTCCTCCAAGAACACAAGTATATTTCATGCATTGGTTATTTGATTTACTCGATCTCTTGCTCACATTAACAGTTCACTGGAAAGAAATATTTTTTTTTCTGGGAACAGTCTTAGAAATTTCTTATATTCTATCTGGAACCAAAGTGATAACATCAACAGGGAGCATGAAATTCACATTAAAGTGAGTAAAAGGAAACAAATTATGGTGTAATATATATTTGTAGCGCAAGGTACAAAATGAGACACACTGACACACTGACACACACACACGTTTTCACATCCTTGCACACACTCACATCATTTTATTTTTTTGTTCCCTACCTTTGAGAGCTGGTTTGGGGCCTCTCCCGGGGGTCCAGTGGGGATCATAGATTACATCATATGCAGGCCCCCGCATCACTACAAAGGGGGGGAAGTGCGAGGGAGCAGTGAGGAGCAGGGAAACTGAGCTCCCTCTTTGCCGCCAGCGACCTCTCTTCCCTGGCTGGGTAAATTTTAGCAGAGTAGTCACCTGCAAAGTGGGGTGAGCAGGTGCCTACTCTGCCTTAGTAAGCATGTCAAACTCGTGGCTCGCCGGGCTGCAAAGGTATTCATTGTGGGTTGCGGGCCGCAAGTTTGACATGCTTGCTGTAAAGGAACCTAGACATTTTAGATGACTGTATTTCAGTTTGTTAAGTCTAGCTTTTTTTATCTCCTGCTCTGTTAATAGCCTCCGAGACCATGCAGAAGCCTCATGTGTGTTATTAAATGTCAGTTTACAGAGCAGGAGATACAAACTTCTAAAGCAAGTTAACTGTCTGAAAATAAAACTATTTTTAATGCAGGCTGTGCAAGTCACAGCCAGGGGAGGTGTGGCTAGAACTGCATAAATAGAAACAAAAGTGATTTAACTCCTAAATGGCAGAGAATTGAGCAGTGAAATCACAGGCGCATGATCTACAGTGAGGAAAAAATGTTTTTGATCCCCTGCTAACTTTGCACATTTGCACACTGACAAAGAAATGATTTGTCTATAATTTTAATGGTAGGTGTATTTTAACATTGAGAGACAGAATAACAAAAGAAAAATCCAGAAAAACGCATGTCAAAAAAGTTATAAATTGATTTGCATGTCAATGAGTGAAATAAGTATTTTACCCCTTCAACTTAGTACTTGGTGGCAAAACCCTTGTTGGCAATCACAGAGGTCAGACATTTCTTGTAGTTGGCCACCAGGTTTGCACCCACCTCAGGAGGGATTTTGTCCCACTCTTCTTTGCAGATCCTCTCCAAGGTTTTGAGGCTGATGTTTGGCAACTCGAACCTTCCGCTCCCTCCACAGATTTTTTATATGATTAAGGTCTGGAGCCTAGCTAGGCCACTCCAGGAACTTAATGTGCTTCTTCTTGAGCCACTCCTTTGTTGCCTTGGCTGTGTGTTTTGGGTCATTGTCATGCTGGAATACCCATCCACGACCCATTTTCAGTGCCCTAGCAGAGGAAAGTTCTCACCCAAGATTTGACAGTACATGGCCCCGTCCATCGTCCCTTTGATGCGGTGCAGTTGTTCTGTCCCCTTAGCAGAAAAAGACTCCCAAAGCATAATGTTTCCACCTACATGTTTGACGGTGGGGATGGTGTTCTTGGGGTCATAAGCAGCAACCCTCCTCCTCCAAGCACGGCGAGTTGAGTTGATGCCAAAGAGCTTGATTTTGGTCTCATCTGACCACAACAATTTCACCCAGTTCTCCTCTGAATCATTCAGATGTTCATTGGAAAACTTTATATGGGCCTGTACATGTGCTTTCTTGAGCAGGGGGACCTGGCGGGCGCTGCAGGATTTCAGTCCTTAACGGCGTAGTGTTACCAATTGTTTTCTTGGTGACTATGGTCCCAGCTGCCTTGAGATCATTAACAAGATCCTCCCGTGTAGTTCTGGACTGATTCCTCACTGTTCTCATGATCATTGAAACTCCACGAGGTGAGAATTTGCATGGAGCACCAGACCATGGAAACTGGCAGTTATTTCTTCCATTTACAAATAATCGCACCAATTTATAACATTTTTTACATGTATTTTTCTGGATTTTTTTGTTTTGTTATTCTGTCTCTCACTGTTAAAATACACCTACCATTAAAATTATAGACTGATCATTTTTATTTTTAACCTTGACACTTACAATCTATTACAATCTGTGTTTCAATCACTGCATTCTATATAGAGGGACTTTATTTAAAAGTATTAGAATGAGTTGTAGGTCTAATCTATGAATTTAGGTTTAGGATTCCTTCTTGTCATCCTTCAAACTCAAGACTGCAAGAATCATATTACATTTATCTGGTATTTATACAGTACAACTTACTAACGTATTACAACCATACTATCATTATAGTGGAGGGCTGTTTTTTTTTCTTTTGGTTAATTATACGCTGATCAGCCACAACATTAAAACCACTGACCAGTGAAGTGAATAATATTGTTTATTTAGTTACAATGGCACCTGTCATGTTCACAAGTCTTGTGAAGTCCATGCCATGAAGCATCAGAGTGGTTTTGGCAACACAAGGGGGACCTACACGGTGTTAGGCAGGTGGCTTTAATGTTCTGGCTGATAAGTGTACAATCATAACGCCTCAGAGGGGACATGATAACATTATACAAATATATTTGGGGCCAGTACAAACCATTATCTGAAAATCTATTCATAAACAGGGCTATACATAGGACTAAAGGTCACACATTTAGGCTGGAAGAAAGGAGATTTCATCTAAGGCAAAGAAAAGTTTTTTTTACAGTAAGAGCAATAAGGATATGGAATTCTCTGCCTGAAGAGGTGGTTTTATCAGAGTCCATACAGATGTTTAAACTGCAATTGGATAAATACTTGCAAAAACTTAACATACAGGGATATAATTTCTAATTAGTGGGGTAATAGCTGCTTGATCCAAAGAGACATCTGACTGCTATTTTGGGGTCAAGAAGGAATTTTTTCCTAGTTTGTTGCAAAATTGGAAGCGCTTCAGACTGGGTTTTTTGCCTTCTTTTGGATCAACAGCAAAAACATATGTGAGGAAGGCTGAACTTGATGGACGCAAGTCTCTTTTCAGCTATGTAACTATGTAACTATGTAATTCAGAGTCTTCGGATGTCAGGACTTACCTTTTCTACTTTATGTTTTCAAACTGCAAATTGCCAGAATGGCTGGAAGTGAGAAAAACCTATTTAGGAAAGTACAAAATGATCAGAATTGCATTTAAGACCACAAGCGTGAATCAATCGGGGACAGACGAGTAGTTGCGGGAGCCAAGAGATAACGAACAGGACTATGTGCTGGATTTGATGACGATAGCCTAGGATCAAATAAATTGTTTGCTGTTGCTGCTGCGTCTTTTTCGTGTGAAATCATTACAAGCAAAGGTCGTGAATACAAAGAACTGGATGAACTGCAAGACTGTTAGAAGTGGTTTCTATTAAATCATACCGCATTGATTATAAATACTGTGTGTTATATGCTTCCAGTTAATTATGTCTGTTATAGCCAAGGGTTGTAGGATAAAATGCAAGGTCTTTATACTGGATGTGTTGCCTGTTCTATATGAGAGTCCTATTGCATAATGATACTATACATCATTATTTCCCTTCTTAATAAAAACATTATTTAAAGGAGCACTATAGTGCCAGAAAAACAAACTTTTTTTCCTGGCACTATAGGGTTATTAGGTACCCCCCCCCCCTCCCTCAGGACCCCCCTCCCACAGGGCTGAAGGGTTAAAATCCCTTCAGCCACTTACCTTAATCCAGCGCAGGCTCCCTCGGCACTGCATTACTCAATGCTTTCCTATGGACGTCAGCGTCATCTCAGTGTGATTTTCACACTGAGAATCATGGAAGCGGCCTCTAGTGGCTGTCAGGTAGACAGCCACTCGAGGCTGGATTAACCCTCAATGAAAACATAGCAGTTTCTCTGAAACTGCTATGTTTTCAGCTGCAGGGTTAAAACAAGGGGTATCTGACACCCACACCACTTCATTGAGCTGAAGTGGTCTGGGTGCCTATAGTGGTCCTTTAAGCTCAAGATTAAAAAAACTATTTAGTTCAATTTTTAGGTACCCATTTTATTCAGTATACTCTGGAATATTTGCCAGGACCCACCGACCCATCAAAGTGACGCCTGCCAGTATCTCTATCAGTAATTGTAAAAAAAAATTAAAAAATTAATAAAAAGAGAAGAATACAAAAATGGTTATTTTGTATATGTGCAAGGTTTTACAAATGTCCACCAGCTAAAGGGAAATATTCCAAATTAGCATAATGGGCTCTTAGGTTGTCAAGAGCTGCGTTAGCAATGATGAATATTGTGCCATTCTGAGACCCTGTTCACAGAAGTAGAGCAGCACTCTTATACAAGAAAAGGATATTGTTAATACAATATAAAACCAGATGTAGTAACCTAACTAAAGGACCATGGCGAGTATTGGGATGTGTTATTCACACGGGCACGTTGATTGTTATATATTTACTGGTTATGGATTATAGTTATTGCTT